TTTAATTGGGAGAGTTTCTTAAGAGAGGAGGGAATGTGGTGTTTAGCTGCTGCTGTCATTATGAGAACGGGGAGCACTGGCTGTTGGGAGTCTGAAAGGACAGGAAAGAGGGAGGAGGGGGAGGAGTGGAGGAGGCAGAGTGAGAGTTACCGAGGGTGCAGCAGCAGCAGCTTGGTAAAGAGGTTTCCACTGTAAAAATAAAGTCCTGTTGAAGTTTGTTAGTACCTTGCCTGGGTGATACAACAGTTTTGTGCCCCATTGCTCCCCATGTCTGTGCTGGGGGCTGTGCCCCCTATCTACCCGTGTCTGTGCCGGGGGGCCGGATCTGTGGGGTCCCCATGAGGGTATGTACCGCATTCCCCCCACATCTGTCTGGTCCAGGGGGTCCGTACCGTGGGCAGGGGTGGGGAGAGGCGGCCCCCGGCTACCTGCCCCCCCTCCCGGCCGCGCCCTCTGAGCTGTTGGCCCCAAACTGTCGGGCGTCCAGCCTGTCCTTGTACTGCAGCTCGGGGGTGACCATGCGGGTGCAGAGTTGCTGGTCGGCGGGCCCCAGCCCCGGCCGCAGCGCATAGCCCAGGATCTGCGCCTGGCCGAACTGGAAGGGGCGGATCTGCTTGTCGGGGATGCTGGCCGCCTCCACGGGGCCCCCGCCCTGCAGGCAGTGCTCGGCCAGCGCCCGGCGCCGCTCCCGCAGCCGGGCCACCTCGGCCCGCAGCCGAGCCGGCCCGAAGGCCTCCACGCGGCGCCAGAAGCTGCGGTTGAAGTGGGCGTAGAGCTGCCAGTCCAGGGCGTTCCAGGCCCGCAGCCGGGCGGCCTGGGCGGGGTCCAGGGGCCGCACGGCCCGGGGGTTGCGCCCGTTGTGCCGGAAGGCGTCCACGTCCTCCTCCGCCCAGCACAGCGCCTCCCGCAGCAGCACCAGCGACTCGTCAAAGTGCTCCGTCAGCAGCACCAGCGGGAAGGTCCGGTCCAGCCGGGCCAGCACCGCCCGCATAGCCTCGGGGCCCGGTGTGGCCGGCGGCGCCAGCCCGAAGTCGAACCACAGCAGGTTGCGGGCGTAGTGGTTGCCCCGCTCGGCCGGGTCGTAGAAGCGCTCGGGCGCCACCAGAAACTGGGCCAGCGAGCCCGCCCGGCGGAAAGCCGGCGCCACCCCCCGGTAGTAGGAGAAGGCGGATTCAGCCAGCGACCCCGGGTCCCTCACGATGGAGAAGTAGAAGCTGTCGGGGGGCATCACTTTCTGCACCTGGGGGAGAGGAGCAGGGGGGGAGAGTGGGGCGGAGGAAGGAGAACCCCCAAATCCTTCCTCCTGGAGCCCCCCGTGGTCCCCCTCAGAGCCCCCCAGGCTCTCCCCCACACCCCCTCACAGCTCCCTCCAGAGTCCCCCATGCTGCCCTCTTCCAGCCCCCCCTCCATGTGCACCCCCCGAATGCATGCTCCCTGGTCCCCCCAAGTTCCCTCCCCCATTCTCCCCCCAAATGCAAGACCCCAGCCCCCGAGTCCCCGCTCCTGTGCTCCCCCAAATGCACACTCCCTGAGTCCCCTCCCCCCACACTCCCAGCCCCCCGAACCCTCTCCCGTGTTCCCCCCAAATGCACGCCCCCTGGTCCCCTGAGCTCCCTCCCCCATTCTCCTCCCAAATGCAAGACCCCAGCTCCCCTGAGTCCCCTCCCCCATGATCTCCCCAAATGCATGGCCCTTGGGCTCCCCCGTCTCACCTCGGGCAGGTCGAAGCGCATGTGGTGGCAGAGGATGTCGAAGCTGGGCCCCCCCGGCCTGTAGCCCTTCACCCGCCGGGCCTGGAAGGGGTGTGGGTACCCGAACTGGTAGCGGGGGGGCAGGGCGAAGCGCAGGCCCCGTGTCTCCCCGAACCGGTGCAGCAGGTTCACAATGGTGCTGCTGCCCGTCTTGTGCGTCTTCAGGAAGACGATGTGGCGCCGGGGCTGGCAGGGCCGGGGGGACAAAGGGCTGGAGGGGGCCCCCTCCTCAGCCCCACCCCCGGGGAGTGACCGCAGGAGGGGCAGCCAGTCCGGGGAGCCCCTGGAACAAAGGGGGGAGGTGAGAGATGGACAGAGACCCCCCCAACCCCCAACCATGGGGGATCCCCTCCCCCCGCAGGGCTCCCAGCCCCCTCCAGCCTTTGGGGGCACAGAGGGCCCCCTCTAGAACCCATTCCCTCCCCCCCCAGGGATCTCCCAACCTGGAGGGGGGCGTCCCCATGTGACCCCCGGGCTCAGAGAGCTTGACAGCTCGCGCTGGCCCAACCTGACCCCTGTGCTGCCCTCTGGAGCCCGTCACCTCCCGCCTCCGTTAATACCCCCGGCCCCGGGGGGAGATCGGCCCTTTCGGCCCCCGCCTTGCGTTGCTGGTTCGTGTTTGGTCTGTTACCCACCCGGACCCCCAGCTCTGTGTCAGCAGCGCGGCTGCCTCTAGCCGGGAGCCCCCCGTTCGTGGGGGCGTGTGTGATTTTTCCTTCCCCCCGGGTGGCCCTTGGCTCTTGTCTGTGCTGAGTTTCGCCAGGAGGATTTCCGACCCCTCCTCCAATTTGTCCGGGTCGGTTTGAATTCTGATCCCATTTCCCTCGCTGGCTCCTGAGACTGTCCTGCGGGCCTGCCTCAAAAGCCAGACTAAAAACTGGAGATCTATCCGGTCTGCACTTCCCCCGCGTCCCCCAGGCCGGTCGCCCCGTCAGTGACAGAAATGACACCGGGGTGGCAGGGTTTGTTTGTGACGCCGGCTGCTCCTTGTCACCCCGTTCCCATCCAGGGGCTCCCCGCTGGGTTGTCATTCCCTGCGTCCTCCGTGTTCCCCTTTGTAAAGACCGGTGCCACATTTCCCCTTCTCCAGGCCTCCCCCATCTTTCCAGGAGTCCTCCAAGATCATCGCTAATGGGTCTCAGATGACTTCAGCTAGTTGCCCCAGGAGCCAAGGCTGAATTCGAGCCTTGCCAACTCGGATACGTCCAACGTAGCTACGGGGTCTTTAGGCTCTTCCTTCCCCCGTTCGGCCGGTGTCCCTTCCCTGCAGCCTGGCAGAGAAGGGGTAACTCTGTTCTCCTCGGGAACACATTCACTGCGGATGCTCTGGGGACGTTGGGGTTTTGTACCTGGGAGGTCGCCCTCCGGGCACCCACCCGGATATGGCCCGGATGGTGGCTGGTTTCAGTGACTGCCCATTTGCCGGGATCGGGTCAGAGGCCCTGGAGCTTTGCTGCCATCCCCGGCGCTGAGCGGATGCTGGCTGTTTCGGACGGATCCCCGCAGGGGAGAACAGCCGTGCGCCAGCCAAGAGAGGCAGGACAGTGGCGTCCGTGTACAGTTTGACCTACGAGCCTGGCGTTCGCAGCGAGAACGGCTCACTCCAAGATGTGGTTATTGCTGCCCTGCTGGGTCAGGCCGAAGATCCAGCACCAGAGCTTCAGGGGAGTTCTGGAGAGATCTGTCCCGACTGCCACGGCTGGCAGAGAGAGATCTAGGGACGCCCAGAGCATGGGGCTGCGTCCCGGACCATCTGGGCTAGTAGCCATTGGTGGACCTAGCCTCCAGGAACTTCTTGTTTGAACCCGGTTATCCTTTTGGCCTTCACAGCATCCCCCGGCAAGGAGTTCCGCAGGTTAGTTGTGCGACAAAGTGCTTCTTGTTGGTATAAAACCTGCAGCCTGTTAATGTCATCAGGTGACCCCTGGTTCTTGCATTGTGTGAAGGGGTAAATAATACTTCCCTCTTCGCTTTCTCTGCACCATTCCTGGTTTTATAGACCTCGATCGTGTCCCCCCGAGGCGTCTCTTTTCCAAGCTGAACAGCCCCTGTCTATTTGGTCTCTCCTTGTACGGGAGCCGTGTCGTCAGACGCTACCGGGGTGGTGCTCTGCTCTGGTCAATGTTGGTATCAGTCGGCTGCGTGCGTGTTCCCTCTGTGTGCTGCCCCGGCTCTGCGCAGATCGCTGACACAGCAGACCCCCGAGAGAACCCCCAATGACCACAGACTCTAGTAAGGTACGAAGGAACCCGGCCAGGTTTATTGTCGAAGAGGAACACAGTCTCTAGCTCCCCGGATTAGATATCTACAGTTCTGCTAGTACATATGTGCTCGCTGGCAATGGACCGGCTCAGTCAGTGGCGGGACTTTCCATTGCCCCCTAGGCCGGACAAAGATATCCGCTCAGGGGTGTATTCTCATACACAGGGACAAACAAGTTACTCATCACTCCTGACGTATTGAGGTGCAACCCCTCTACATAGCAAGGTACAACCCCTCCACGCAATAAGGTGCCGCCTCTCACCTTGTTTGTGTTGGTTCGAACAAAACAACTCTATCCATCATATTCCCCTTTTGCCCCCGTCTTTAGGACGGGTCAGCCTGTTCCTTGTTATCCGGGCCTCTGATACCAAGGTTTTGATCTCAGGGGCTCCTCTTCCCACAAGCCATTCCGTACCCTGGGTTGCCTTTCTCTGAACCCGTGCCAGCCCCACTCGCTCCCTTGACAGTGGGGACGGTGGGGCTGGGGTAGAAAT